TATATATATACATACATACATATATACTTATATATACAGATTAGAATAGAATATAAATAGAATACAATACAAAAGAAAAAAAACAAACAGAATGCAATAGAACAGAACGGGATGGAATAGAATAGAGCAGAATGGAATAGAATAAATTAGAACATTACAATAGAATGGAATACAATAGAATGCAATAGAACAGAACAGAATTCAACAAAACAGAATAGGCATAATATAAATAATTTTATTTGACAGAAATAAAATGAAGTATAAAGAGAAGAGAATAACAGAGTAGAATAGAATAGAGTGTAAAACCCCCGAGGCTGTGGCTGTGATTACTCTCCTGCAGTGTGTACTGTACAGATTAAAGTAAAAATGACTTCAGACATAATGCAGTGTCACCTGTCCTCAGAGTGCTGCAGCAGCAGGATCCTGAAGTGTGCAGGTATTTCTCCCAGAATGCTCAGGTGTTTGGGGTTTATGGTCAGCTGACTGCAGGCCTGTAAGAGTGATGATGTGAGCTGTGAATCTGCTGCTGTCTAGACACTGCAGTCCCTCTAGAGCTGCTCTATATAAAGATCAGCTCAAACGCTACAGCTCTCAGACTGATAGAATCCTCTGCTGAGGGGATACATGTACAGCTCTGAGGGATACACCAGAGTTTAGATCCGCTAACTCCTCCAGAGCGAGCACTCCTGGGCTTCAGTACAGGAGCTGCTCTTTACAGTCGTCTGAGTTGAACATGTATAGTGAAGACCAGCTCTCGTGTGCATCTGTGTATGCGTGTGTCTCAATGTGTGTGTGTCTGTTTGTGTGCATGCATGTATCTGCAAGTATGTGCATTGTGTGTGTATGTGTCTACATGTGTAGCGCATGTGTGTGTCTCTGTGCCTGTTTGCGTGTGCATGTCTCTCTCTATCTGTGTGTGAGTTTATGTTCGTGTTTGAGTGTGTGCGCATGCATGTGTGTGCGTTACCGTAAAGAGAGTGTTTCTGTGTGTGTTACTATAGAGAGAGTGTTTCCGTCTGTGTGTGTGTGTTACCGTAGAGAGTGTGTGCAGCTCTCGGTTCAGTGATGTCTGTACGCCGCCGTCTCGGAGCCCCTGTTCAGAGATCAGCTTCTCCCGCAGGTTCAGCAGAGAAAACACACCACACACACTGATGCTGGAGGAGACCTGCTGCAGGACACACAACAGCTGCACACAACACACACCACTCTGACCACACACAACACAACACAACACAACACAACACAACACACTGATCATTACTACACACTCACACACATCTATCTAGCCGTCCGTCCATCCGTCCGTCCGTCCATCCATCCATCCATCCATCCATCTATCCATGCATATCTATCTATCTATCTATCTATCTATCTATCTATCTATCTATCTATCTATCTATCTATCTATCTATCTATCTATCTATCTATCTATCTATCTATCTATCTATCTATCTATCTATCTATCTATCTATCTATCTATCTATCTATCTATCTATCATCTATCCCATGCATTTCTATCTATCTGTCCGTCCGTCCATCCGTCTATCTATCTATCTATCTATCTATCTATCCATGCATATCTATCTATCTATCTATCTATCTATCTATCTATCTATCTATCCATCCATC